AACCAGAGTACAAAACTAATCCAACTGTAGAGAGGTAAGACGGGGTGACGTTATATCCCCGAAACTCTTCACCACTGCATTGGAAGACGTTTTCAAGCTACTGGACTGGATAGGATACGGTATTAACATCAATGGCGAGTATATCACTCACCTTTGATTTGCCGACGATATAGTCCTTATGGCAGAATCGCTGGAAGGACTTAAGCAATTTGCTCAATGACCTCAATAGTGCCTCCCAATGGATGGGTCTTAAGATGAACATGGACAAAACAAAGATCATGTTTTATGTCCATGTCACACCTATGCCCGTAGTTGTTGGGAGCACTAAGCTCGAAGTTGTTGACGAGTACGTTTACCTGGGACAAATAGTCTGATTAGATATGTCCACTTCGACCGAGAGGTCAATCGACGGATTCAACTCGGCTGGGCAGCGTTCGAGAAATTACGACACATCTTCTCGTCAGGCCTATGTTCAGCAGTGAACGTGTATATTAATATGATACATAAATGGAATGGACGTTACGGGTAGAGTCCATCTATCCATAGAGTCTATTCTATTTATTTAGGTATAAGTAGGGTATAACATTTTTATCGATATAATTTGGTACACTGTCTTATCCCTATTATTAGTTCCGTGGACGTGCACTTCTGCTGTCAGCGCCAAAATGGCGGCAGTCAAGTCGCTTCAGCATGTCACGGTGTGTAGCGAGTCCAGCGTACTTGTATATATAGAGGTCAGTGTTTGGAACGAATCACCAGTATAGCGTCTATTCATGACGCCCTTTGCATTGGACAGTACACTGCGTTGTATTTCGGAACATACTGTAGACAGAGAATACTAGGATTCTCTGTCTAAGGAACATACCCTTAATTTCATCCAGTTTGACATATATAGTTTGACACTCAGATGAAGTTTAACTTCATCTGAATGTCAAACTATATATGTCAAACTGGATGAACTGTCAAACCTCAGATGAAGTTTTACTTCATCCATAGATTACTGTATGACTTCATCTGAGGTTTGACAGTTATGTACATAGATTACTGACCTTAGCTTGCTACTCTTTAGTATATAGTTAGTAATCTATGCTTGCTACATATTTATTTATCTATGTTACTGACTAGTTATCCCAAGAGAAATAAAAAAAAAAATTAATGTGTTATCTTCCAGTAAAATAAGAAAATTGTAATCCCTAAACTAATATCGGTCTAAAAAGACCTGTTACATCACTATAGAAAGAACTAACCACATATAGTTATCTGTGGACTAGTTATGTAGAAACGGTTATATACGTTAGATATTAATTCCGTTCGAAAGTTATTTGTTATATTAATTTGTTTTCTCATGATTATTCATGAATGGCTTAAAGCCCTACTGTTGTTGAGGTATGCCAAATTTAAAATTAATTTGGGGTTGATTTGTAAAACCTAGTGGGGTCGCGCATGATTATTCATGGGTGACCTAAAGCCCTGATGTTGTTGAGGTATACCAAATTTAAAATTAGATTGCTCGTTTGGAATAACAAACTTAAAGTTCTGTGGTCCCATATTATTATTAAATCATGAGCCATTATTAAAATTATTTTGAACAACAAATCTTTGACCTTGTTGCTGATGCGAGATACCAAATTTAAAGTTATTATTAGGCGATTGAAATTTATTCTATGGTCCAGATTGTGGATTTGCAAATTTAAAATACGATTGATTATTATTAAGTAAAATATGAACACTTTGTTGGGGTTTGAAATTTTGGGATGTTGTATTCTGTTTAATTTCTGTTTTTCGCATTATATTCGCATTATACTCGATAGCTATGCAATCTTCCGAACGCGGAAAAATGCGCGCCAAAATGTTGAATTAAAATATCTTTAAGCGTATTCCAACAATTAATATCATCACGCTCACTTAAAAAATGTGCTGCCCTACCTGTTAATCGGCTGCTTATTGCATGGAATACATTTAATGTTTGTGTGGTTATTATTAGGGTCTGCGAAAGACCTGTATATGTATTGAGCTTTCTTAATAAATAAATTTAATAATCCTTCCTCTCCTTCAAACTTAGTATAAGACAAAGTAAATCCTTAGGTATTACACGTAATTGTTCCATTTTATTTAATATTAATATAACAATTTATATATAATATTTAATTTATTTTATTTAAATAATTATAAATTTTATATCCTTTTATTTCTTTAATTATGTAATTTTTATTCTTTATAACACAATTTAATAAATTTTCTTTATTTCAAATTAATTTTCAATACTTAATTATTAAACTTAATGATATAGAATAAATTTCCTATGCTTGTGCAATTTATTTTGTTCGATTTCGAAAAAATCAAATAACACTATAATTCTAGCAAGCAAAAATAGATGGGAACAGAGATGGACGTGAAAAGGTTTACTCACAGTACACTCGAACTCATCCTTTCACCTGGGCTAGGAAGTCTTCTTTCTTGATGTCCTGATTCGAATTCGACAAATTTATTTCGGTTCGTAGATTTCGCGAAAGTGCAAGACGGCACCGTAAACTGCTTCACGACGACTGATTTGGGAGTCTTCTTATATGAGCGAGCTTTACACGCGAAATCCTACCGGCTGCGCCAGTCAGGATTCGAAATGACTCAGGACGTTTTTAAAAAGACTTTATTAATAAACTTATAACTATTAATGTGCGATACATTACTTATATACTACTTAATGAATCCGCGATGGATTCTAACCTAAGGCTACATGTGCGAGCCAAACTAAGACTATCCTAATTCTTATTCTAGATCTTTAAGCTAACGAACAGTTATCAGTATTCACTCGAAAGACCACCCGTCTTCTAGATGCAATTCAGCAATCTACGCCCATGCTTACGCTTGAATTGTGATGGTCTCCGGTGCAGTTCCGGGAATACCGGGATGCATAACTTAATTGTAAATATTTAGTGTAATATAGATAGAATTTTGCATGTTGTATAAAAAAGTGCACAATAATGTTGCGTCGGTTAAAAACTCAATAAAATTATACAGCTTAACATACATTCGGACAGTCCTAAGCAAAAAAAAGTAAAAAGTAGGAAGGGAAGTTCATTGAACTTAATATACATATTTTAAATGATTCTGTTTTAAAACATGGAACACTCAAATGATGCTAATACAACTTAAACATAATTTTTTATGTCTTTGTCTGTTTGATATTATAACATCCAGCATAATCATATTTATAATCGTTATAACAACATACAACAAAACGCTAACACAGCTGACAACTGAACTGAACTAACCGCCTGTACAATCTAATATTTGAAACTGTTATAATATATAATAACGGTTTAAATAACAGTTAGAAAAATATGTTACAACATCTTAACGAATTTGAAAAATATAACAGTTTCGCCCACCTTTAGTTGTTACGTTTTCGAGGTTTAAGTTATCGAGGTTCTACTGTATTTACTAATAAAATCATAATTTTATATAATACTGAAAAACCCTTCACTGCTGGCCGTATGAGAAAGCTCAAAGTTACTCAGCGAGCTACGGAGACGGCTATGCTCGGGGTTTTCTGCATGATAGATGTAGAAATAAGGATATTCACAGCAGAATCAGAGAGCCCGACATAGCCCAACGGATTAGTAAGCTGAAATGGCATTGGGCTGGCCATATAGTTCAAAGAATTCACCAACTGATGGCGGGAAAAGGGTTCCCGAGTTGCAGGCTCGTACCGGTGGGTGAAGTGCAGAGCTATCCCTCAATAGATGGAGTGACGACCTGGTAAGACATACAGGAGGTTGATGGATATAAGAGGTGGATCAGTACCGCGCTTTGTGGCACCCCTTGGGGGAGGCTTGTGTTCAGCAGCGGACTTGTGTAGGGCTGTAGATAAGGAATGAAAAATTACTAAAAAACACTTTTACCAACGCTGAACTTATGCAGACTATGATGATTGTTGATAAATAATATTGACATAGTCCTCGCCTTACGTTGCTTACGCATATAGACAGGGGCACCAGTGTATCGACGTGTACAATTTGATGGTATGTGTAAATGCAATGAACACAAACACAAATGCTGTATGTAGTGTTCGTGTATAGTGATGCGATTCAATTGAAGTATACAGTAGTGTGTTTTTCTTGCGTCCCCTTAAGTTGACAGACTTTTTTGTTCAGGAATTAACGAGCATGGCCTCTCCAGTTGGTTTAATACTCAAAGTTCTAAACCTTTCCAAACGATGTTCATTTATTGGAACAAGCACAACTTTCTCATTTTTCTGTTTTTTGTGTATGTATACAATGAGACCCACTGTCCACAGTGATCTGAACTTAAATTTAGAATGACGGATTTATGCAAGCGCTTGAGGCAATGAGAGCCAATAATCCTACGCTCACTGGACGTGGCTAATTGTGGCCAAGGTGAGCTATTTGATACGATGGTCACATCAGTGAAAATTATAAGCTTTTCAGTGTCAAGGGTATGTATATACACAAAACATTGTCTTAGTGTTGTATTGTTTACTTTTATACATATTGTAAACTTATTTAATTTTTTTTATACTTTTAAGTATAATTCGTAGCTTATACATTTCTAATATAATTTATATGAAATATAACTAATATTTGAGAAAGAAACGTTATCCTACACTCTTCTAACAAATTAACTTCCTTGCTACGAAGTCTGTCAAAAATGTTACCACAGTTTAAAGTGTTGCCGCCTTGGTGGTAGAAAAAGTCATGACCCTCACTAGGAGGGCAAATGAAACACGGATAATCGGTTCGACTGTATTTTAATTTAAAATTTCAAAAAGCAAATACAATTATCTCCGCATGACTCGTCTCATAAAGCTTTACACATAAGGTAGTATCTTTAATAGTACATAATAAATATAACAAACAGTGAAAGTACTCTGGCGCCACAAAACGACGCGACACGCAGCGACGCGCAGCGTGCGGCTGCGGGCCGCCGCGTGTCGCTGCGGGCCGCCGCGGGCCGCTGCGGGCTGCTGCAAGCCCTCACACCTACTTGTCCTTCTCAGTCTCCGTCTTCTTACCCAGCGGGCAGGCCGCTCGTACTCTGAAATTATAAAGTTTAAGGTGAGTCTCAAATAAAAGATACAAGAAAGAGAATAACCATTACGTTATAATCAATATTATATAGTTAACCTTACCAGTTTCACTATTAATTATACTCCATATCATTTTAATTTTATTAGAAGCTGTCTTTATTTTGTTGCTCAAATACAATGATTTGGCTAAGGAGCACACTCTTTTAAATATTTTGCAATATTTTTTTACATATTCCTTAAATTCCATGCTAGGATTATATGACCTTTCATTGTAAAGTTCAAATAACCTTTGCCTACTCTTATGGACTCCTGCTGTCGCCCATTCATTAAATGCCTTGCGATTGTTCAAGGAGAATGTTTTAGAAGTAAAAGTATTATTAAATTCATTGCAAATAAGCTTAAATAATGTTCCATACAAAAAATCTGGATTATTTTGGTATGAAAGTGACGGAAGTTTTTTTACTATGTTACTTCTAAACTTCTCCAAGCGATGTGCATTTACTGGAACAAACACTACTTGCTGCTATTTACTTGCTTTTTGTGAACATAAGGTAACGAAACTAATTGTCCACAGTGATCAGAGCTCAATTTTTGAATTATCCATTTATTGAATGGCTTAACATTTGTAAAAATGTTGTCTATGCATGTTGCACTAGATTCAGCAATACGCGTTGGCTCCAAAAATAAATTAAAAAGACCATAAGATTTAAACAATGATCTAAATTTAATATTGGTGGAGGAAGCTTCTAGGAGATTGATATTAAAGTCTCCACATATTACGAGTACAACAGATTTATTCTGTTTATTAAGCTTAGCAAAAACTTCCTCCAAATTTTTTTCAAAAGTATCATATAGATTAATATGCCTTTGTATAGTGTGTACCAATTGTTTTTTTTAACAGCCCCGTTGCTCTAGTGGTTGTAGTATTGCAACTGCTAATCAGAAGGTCCTGGTTTCGAACCCCAGTTCGGGCCAAAAAATCAATTATTGAGTTTTTCTGTCAAGAAATTCTCAGTAGCTGTACGGAACCAGGAAGTTGGCGGTGTCTCACCCCCGTGCCGTTGGTCCTGCGCCTGATCTCTCTCGTTGATCTTGTCGGTTTACCGTCCCATCGGACTATGTGAGTGAGGGAATAGAGAGTGCACCTGTGCTTGCGCGCATACACTTGGGCACTATAATCCTGTCCTGTGCCGATGGCTAGCCTCCGTTGAGGCAGGCCGTCGTGACCAAAATTCGGTCTGGAGGACATTATTATTATTATTACCAATTGTTTTTTTATAGAATAAGGGTGACAAACGAGCACACAGACACGGTAAATGGATGCTGTGTCCCATAGACATCTACATCTATACTCGATTAAGAATCAAAATGCAGATTCATTGTCATCCCTGAGGATGTAATGCCTTGTTTCCAGTAAAAGGGTCATAGTTCTCTACGCTCACCGTACGAAACACAGCAGCATTGAGCTGCTATTTTACGCTGGTATTTTGTGAGGTTGATCTTTCCCCGTTTGAGCCGACCCATTCGCGCTACAGCCATATGCAGCGTGGCTTGAGCTGTAGCTGAGGTGAGTGTGTGTGACATGAAAGATATCCGTGGCACTGACTTGGCGGTGATCTCGTTGATCTTAGTGCGCGCCAGCTCCAGGTTGGCGTCCACCTGCGTCTTGTTCATCTCGTACGCCTTCGGCAGCGTGAACAGCGCCACCCATCCTGCAATTACAAAAACCATCCTGATATATATGATACGTTCCAAATTTCTTCTTCCAATAGCACTACAAATAATAACGCATTGCTGTAATGATCCTGATATTTTTTATCCTGATTATCCTGAACAGGATACCAGAATAAAGTTATGAAATCAATGTATTATAATCGGTCCTTATTACGCGTATAAAGTTAGTAGTAACTCAATCAGCTGTCCAAAAATTGATGAAAATGATATTAAAACATTTCGTTACATAGATAAATAAATACACGCGAAGCCAAGAAAAGCCGGTTAATATTACTATAATTCTTAAAAGTTAACAAAATGTATATGTATTTAGAGAATGTCTACTTAAAAACTGCAGTCGACACATCCTGGTCTTGCGTATGCGTACATACTAATGTGGCGTTATTAAGATTTAACATAATCGAAAACCATTTATTATATCAACTATTCATGGTTTTTTTGATAACGTTTAATTTTTTAAAATCAAACTCCTGGCATTGCCCTTCATCTGTTCGTGTTTAAAAATTTGTATGTCATTAGATGCGGCGCCGCCCCCCGAACTTTATCCCGAACAGATAGACAGGCAGGCAACATATTTAGAAATGCGTTAAGTATTGTGGTGTCGCAGTCTCTTTTACTTAAAATGATAGAGACGGCACGAGACTTAACGGTGTCCTATATTTGAGTAATGTTTGAGAATATTAACTTTAATATGTAAATAAAATTTTTAAATATTTGGGCGTTAGTGTTTTAATAAATTTAGAAATTATTTATTGTCCAGGGACTCCATATCAAAGTTTTTACATCATTAATAATTGGTGGCTTATCTTCACGATTCAAGCAAAAATTCGGTATATGCTAACAAAAGAATAAAAATATTAATTATAATAAATCAATAAATTTATACATATTGTTTTAAAAATATTTTATTGTTTTACAATGTTTTTATCTTAAATAAGATTTTTAATATTCCCCCCGCTCCTCAAAGATAAGAAAAACATTGAACCCCCCCTAAGCCTTCTTACGTAGTACTTGAAAACCCCACTAATAACAACTAATAAATTATCTTTACGTGTATGCATTTATATACATTATTTCTATAAACTCTATACATATAACATATTAGAATATTCAATGATACCCACAGACACAGCACCTCAGTGTCTAAGTACGCTGGTAGTGCCGACATTATGAGGGGTATCTTTTAATAGCCATTTACTCAAAATAAATATGCTCGAGTTGTAAAAAAAGATATGATTATGTATTACTAAATAAACCCTTTTTTCTTTCAAAAGTTCACCTACGGAGAGGTTCAGTGAAGTTGGGAATCAACATCTACAAATTCAATCGGTGAAATTAATATTTTACTATATATTTTGCCCTTTTGCATAAATTTTATTGCATGCAAAAAGGTCTTCGTGCTAATTCAATTTGTGAGGTTGCAGGTGCAGGGAATCATAAATATTCAGAGGCATGTGGTGCTGCAAGAGACGAAGCAGGGAAGCTGAAGCGGGAGATGGTCCGCAGCGTCTTCTAGATAACAACTTAATAATAATAATAACTAAGGTTGACAACCATACTGCCAAGTGTGGCGGCGATAGCTAATTAAAAAAAAACAAAAAGCAATCTATGGGAGAGGACAGAGGTATTTTCTAAACTAGTGGTAAATAAAAAAATGACTTTCAATAAGTATTATGTAATAATCTACATAGAATAAAAATCATTCTATTCTATTTTATTTAGCCTCCTGCTTATGTCCTGTAGAGGACGGAAATGTGGAAAATTACTACACATAATGGAAACTACATATATATACATATATATATATATATATATATATATATATATATATATATATATATATATATAGTATATATATATATACATATATATACATTTACTTATTTATTATAGTAATTATGTTAAAGTTACAGCCTATCATTTCTGAAAAGGTTTTAGGGTAAGGAAATTTGCTCAATGTCTTCGAAACATGATTTTTTTTTCTTGTATTCTTATAATAATTATGACTGCAAGTAAAATGGAGAAACGCACCTAGAATGATAAGAGTGATGCCGTTGAAGCAGGCGCCGACGTAGGTGAGGCACCACAGCAGCACACCGAACTTCAGCGAGTCCACCAGGTCCTCAACCAGGAACAACCTGCAATGCGCAATGGCAAAAACAGGAGTAAGAAGTTGGGGGAAATTTCCAAAAGCCAGAAACATTCCAATCAGCACTTCCAGGAATTAAAAGAGAGCATTTTAAATAGCAGCTTAATGCTAATTCGTATGGTGATTATAGAAAACCGGCGACACTGGAATCAACTCATTCCATGTAAGTCCTCACAGGTAACACATAGACATACGTCTATGGGTCACAGCAACCACTTACCATTAGGTGGACTGTGTCCTCGTTTGTGATCCTTATTCTATAAAAAACTGACGATGAAACACATCTTATTTCATCGATTAAGCAGTGCTATACAATAAAAGATGTATGGGACAGTCCTCTTTCCCTCTTTCTACCGAATTAGAAGCACTATCAACTTCTATTCTTGACTCGCTTAAGATAACAATTAATCACAAATTAATAAATTAGGATATCGCTTCTTGACATATGTAATATGTATATACATTTTACATACATAGAAAAACAGTTCTTTTCGGGGAGTCGGGTAAAAGAGTCACTCTACTTCTGCTCTTGTTGTAGGAATGGACTTTAAATTTATTAAAACAAACGCAACTTTTAAATATTCCACTCTATTGTCCATATATTATTTCTTTAATTATTAACAATGTGCAAAAGTTTCATATTATCTACAAGTAAATTTTATTAGCTAGTAAATGATCATGACGTTGATCTTTTTTATACCGAACAAATGAAGTAAGACATTTATTGAATTTAAAATTCTTCAGCTCTCAACCAGTGCTAAATCTTTCAAATGGAGTGATTTATTTATTTTTCGTAACTTTATCTACAATAAAAATTGAATCCGTAAGTAAATTTTTTTATTGGCTAGTGTTTATCCACTATTTATTTACTTGTATTGTTTTAAACGGCAGTTACAGTCATGTGTGTACGTTCGTGCGTACGTGGGCGTGCGTGCGTGTGTGTTTGCATGTGTGTGTACACGTACCTGCGCAGCTCGTGCGTGGTGGCATTCAGGTGAGCGGTAGCGGCGGCGGCCAGTTCCTGAGCGCGCTCGGCCGGCACACTGATGTCCTTCTCCAGCAGCCATCTGCAAACCAACACAAACGTTTAGTTTCTCAACATCCCATTCTGAAACCTACATTTCTTAGAGGGCTTGTACATCGTGAGGAATTCTGGATATTTTTCCCCTACACTTAATATTATCCTGTAATGGCCTGTAAGACTATCCACCACTCCATATCATCCCGCGGGTGTCATAAGAGGCGACAGAGGGGCACAAATCAGAAGATGGACAGCAACATCTTCCTAATATCGACTAAAATAAAAAAGCTGCCGTCGCCAACTAGCTGATGATGCAGTTTCTGGGGGGGGGGGGGTGAGGGAGCGCTATATTCAGCAGTGGAATTTAATGGATTGTAACGGTAAGGGTTACCCATCCACACTAGGATTTTCTCTATTTAATTTGTGAACAATTACTTGTGGGCCGTACAAATACTTGTTCCTTGCGGGATTCCACTGCGTTACGAAGCGGTCATTGGATTTATATACGAGATTTTTATATCACCACCTTGTATTTACCCAATAGGACGCTACGAAAACGAACTTGCAGTCCTCCTGATGGTAAGTGGCTACTGCAGAGCATGGACACCCGCAGCCACCTTTCAACAAACGAGTTTACACATAATCTGCTACCCCTGAGGACTAAGATGGAATGCCTCACATCCTCGGTTTACGCTGGCTCACTGCTGCTGGCTGCAGACATAGTCGAGGGTGGTACCGGACTCCTGGACACTATACGAGTCCTAACACGAGGAAAGAGATGGCAAAACCCTTCAATAACTGCGTAATAATCTAATTATAGCATATAACACGATTGTAGGACGCTCTCACAGGATACCAGCGTAAAATAGCAGCTCAACGCTGCTATCTTTCGTACGGTTAGTGTAGAAACCCGGAGACCCCCTTTAATAGAAATGAGGCCTTCCATCTTAGTCCACACGGGTGACAACGCATCTGCATTTTAATTCGTAGTCGAGGACAGATGTAGATGTCTATGAGCCACAGCAACCACTTACCATCTAGTGGACTATGTGCTCGTTTGTCACCCATATCATATAAAAAATATCTTTGTTGACTATGTCCATTATTTATTATTATCCACAATACAGCAAAAATCTGTAGGTACGTATTATTAACTAATATTTTATTATTCGTGATACTTAAAAAGTTAGTACGTAAAAGTACTCAACGAAAATATTTTATTAAAGCCGCTGAAATTGTATTTTATATTATTTACAGAATGAGTAATCTTTTTGAAACTTGTAAAACAGACCTTCTTTGTTATACTGAACAAAACATTGTAAAGATCACCCCACCTTCGTTAAGGTTATCTTAAATGTGTATTATTGAGATATTAAGTAATCTCCATATAGAATAGTTTTGTCACTTCGCTACAAAATCTTTATTAAAATTATCTACACTTCACATTAAGTATTTTAATGATACCTCTGTCTTCTAGCGAAGTGTTTTTTTTTTAATTATTACCGTACTATTTTTATATGCGGTAGAGCTATAAAGTTACACCTATATACTTCCCACGACTGGGCAGAGGTTTCCTCTCAATTCTGTGAAGGTTTCAGGGCTGGGAAATGTCCCCCATGCTACCCCAATGCGTGTTGGCGAACTTCACTTGACTTCGACTTTCTTCTACTTATTTCTCAGAGATGCAGGTTTCCTCGCGATGTTTTCCTTTACCGCTAAGCACGTGGTAAATCAGCACTTAATATTGTAATTAACAATTTCATTGGTGCCGGCGGGGAACGAACTCGGGTTGCTCGCGTACTGAGAAATTTACTGCGAGCGTTAACCATCTGAGCTACCACGGTTTCTGGAAGAGCTATGCTGCAGCCATATTATGTCCAGCCAGTATCTAGGTCCTCAGAGATGAAAACGCATCTGCATTTTGAATCTTTATCGAGGGTAAATGTAGAAGATGTATATGGTGCACAGTACCCACTTACCATCAGGTGGACAGTGTGCTCGTTTGAAACTCTTATTCTATAAAAAATTAGCATAAGCTTCATACTGTAAGTTGTAATGTATATCAATTGCTTTCAAGATGGTTAGATGATAGGTCAGATACTAGCGACCTTAGAGTTATCATATGACTGTAACTTGATACAGCTGAAGGAGTCATGTTCTCGGAACTGAAAGTGCTCTACGCTACGTAGGTTTCTACAATAAGTGTCAAGTTTAAAGTTTTTTAGACTTATTTCAATAGCATATAACATTTTCCGGAATAGTATGTGTACAAAGGTTTTGTATAAGGTCAAATGTAAAATAATTTTAATTTCACAATCATCAATAGGTCTACAATACAAATACAATAGCTATAGCTATTTCTTTTTCCTTTTGTCTTTTGTCTCATTCTTAACATCTTCAATCATGCACGATTCGTTCGTTTGAGCTGGTACACTTAAAAGTATTGATGGTTCATTCATTTGTTTTTGAATGTACCAGTACAACCAATCACAAACAATTGACGGAACCTTTTTAACCCATGATTTGTATGAATTGTGAATGAGCCGAAAACCGACCGAATCCCGAATGATCTAAGTGAACAGGTGAATCGAATAAACAATGCAGACTGCAAAGGTTTTTTAATACAACATTGTTACCTAAATTAAAAATTATTTTAAATTTTTTGTTATATTTATTTGTTATATCTATGAGTTAAAAATATCATTTCGTAGGGTTTACTAAAAATAAATGATTTATTTAATATGATAATTTTCAACCATTTTATATAAGTATGAGATAAAAGTTTAGTTTTGTAGCAAATAATTAAAACTCGGAACAGAATAGGTTAAAAAATAACAAATATTGGATAACACAGGAATACTTATTGAAAGTCCTTTATGCTTTTATCACTGGTTCGGAAACAAACCTCAGTTCTGGAAAGAACCACCAAGAAACCCAGCGGGAATTAAAAAAAATATATTTACTTACTGTTTAATATTTTATAGTTAATTATAAAACATTTAGAAACATAGCAGCGATCACCTCATTCCCAGGGGTTATTATCTATCCGTTAGAAGTATAATAACCCTTATTAATCATTTTTTGTTTAATTTTCTTTAAACTATTTGATAGTAAGCGACAAAACGAGCACACAGTCACTGTGGCACATAGATCAAATAGATGATGAGAGGGATAGATTTAGATGGTCTATCCCCAATTAAGAAACGAAATGCAGATGCGTTGTTACTCCTGAAAATTAAGATGGAATGCCTCCTTTCCAGTAAAAATGGTCTCCGGTTTTCTACACTCACCATAAGAAATACAGTAGCACTAAGCTGTTTCCGTTTAAGCTGCCCCATTCGTGCCACAACCATTATATAACTACCCCGTGGCTCTACCACGTATCACTTTGTTGTAAAAGTGTTTAGAGGAGTCATAGGTTATGCATGAGCCAGATATCCAAGAGGCATGTCGTAACCCTTTCAGAAAACAAAATGAAAGTCATCAGAGATTGTTGCGACGCGAGAGGTAGCGCACTGCACGGAAAGTGTTTTCGCTTATTGTTCAAGTTTCACTTGCTACACCGCCGCCTCTAATGCTACATTGTACTGACTTTTTAAGAAGCAATCTAAGAATATTTAGAAGATGACACTTCTGTAAGCTAATTAGCGAGACGACAGTAGCCTATAATGCGAGAACTAACTGTGAACTTTAAAATCGTAAGTTCAAATCTCCGTCTTTCCACCGACTAGTGATCCTCCACTAGTACAATCATTTTAAGCATACATGGAGTTGTTATGTTGATAGCATTACTCCATCTAGTGAAGGGTCGCCACACATTGCACCAGTTTACCAGTTCGCGGCTGCCACTCCAGAACCTTTCATCCCTATCAGTTGTCGGTTCTCCGAGTTATAGCTACAATTTGCTGGTAGTCAATGGATACAGGTGGCTAAATACCTTACTTGGTGGCAATCTACGTGAGAGCCCTATGTTGGTCAGAGACGGTGTCGTGGTGGTGGTTTTTAGTAATTATAAACTAATGCTCACTACGATCCCATCTAGTGGTAAGTGGTAGTATTTAGATATTGGTATGAATGTTTACTTTTATTAACAAATATATGTTTTTGTAGCCGGCGTTGACGTGTTATCACTGCCCAAAGGTCTAAGGTTGACTGGCAGGGAATGCTTCTAGCATTAAGTCCGCCTTTTGCTCACATACTGCTTTGTAAGGTTCAACAAAGATTAGATAAATAATAAATGAATAAATACTATGTTAATATCTATACGTAATTCAGTCGGTACCAAATCAGGCTGCTCACACGTATTGAATAGACTGCCCAATATTAATTTATACACAATATAAATTTATCTTATACATGTAAATATTTGTATCTACGATTTTTTACAATATCATTTTGTAAATATTGCAAAGTAATTCGTTGAAATCTTTTGAATGATTAAAAATTCTCCCGTTAGCATTGTGCTAGAATTTTCCGTGCAACAAGGCTTGACGGTCGTTGACCTGTGACGTCACCGCACTGCAGGCAGTAGGCAGGTACCGACGTATTGTTAGGTAGGTAGCAATCTAGCAAATTTGAAGTCTATGTTTTGATAGTACCACGTACCACTTTACTAAGTTTAGTAAGTGAAAATTATAATAACCAGTATCCTTGCCACCATAGATATAGTATCCTTATCGAATGATTTTACCAAAAGGCATCTCTAAAACTATTGCAAAGCTTCAAAAAGAAACATGGGTGCAGTTCACACGCGGTAGTGAAACCTTCACGAAACTAAACTTCGACAGAATGGGACAGATGCAGAGTACGCGTATCAGGAGTAGGACGATTTATGTTATCAAAATATAAATTAATTCATAAAAAAACAACATCAAAACTAACACAAAAATGAGATATAATAAATACAGTATACAGTACTGTATTCTATCTCACTTTCTTGCCCAGCCGAGTTGAATCCGTCGATTGACCTCTCGGTCGAAGTTGGACTTACCTAGTCGGACTATTTGTCCCAGGTAAACGTACTCGTCAACAACTTCGAGCATAGTGCTCCCAACAACTACCGGCATAGGTGTGACATGGACATTAAACATGATCTTTGTTTTGTCCATGTTCATCTTAAGACCTATCCGTTGGGAGGCACTATTGAGGTCATTGAGCATAGTGCTTAAGTCCTCCAGCGATTCTGCCATAAGGATTATATCGTCGGCAAATCGAAGGTGAGTGATGTACTCGCCATTGATGTTAATACCGTATCCTTTCCAGTCCAGTAGCTTGAAAACGTCTTCCAAAGCAGCGGTGAAGAGTTTCGGAGATATAACGTCACCCTGTCTTACACCTCTCTGCAGTTGGATAGGTTTCGAGCTCTGGTTCTGTACTCGGATAGCCATCGTAGCCCTACTGTACAAACACTTCAGCACTTCGATATACCGACAGTCAACTTGGCACCGCTGAAGGGACTGCAGCACCGCCCAAATTTCGACGGAATCAAAGGCTTTCTCATAGTCCACATACGCCAGGCAAAGTGGCAAATTGTACTCTTCAGTCTTCTGTACAACCTGCCGCAGGGTATGTATGTGGTCTATGGTACTGAAGCCTTTTCGGAAACCGGCTTGTTCGGGAGGCTGGAAGTCGTCGAGTCTGCGTGCGAGACGATTCATAATGACTCTCGAAAACAGCACGTAGACGCGGCTCAGAAGGGAAATCGGTCTGTAGTTCTTCAAGAGAGCGTTGTCGCCTTTCTTAAAGAACAAGACCACCGCACTTCTGCTCCACGCCTCTGGAGTAGTGCCACCATGGAGGACGGAATTGAAGAGCTTCTGAAGGACTTCAAGTATCGGTGTTCCACCCGCTTTCAGAAGCTCCGCTGTAATTCCATCCTCGCCTGGGGCCCTGCCGTTTTTAAGGTGCTGGAGAGCCATTCTAATCTCGCTTAGACTGACGTCCGGGATATCATCGGAGTAGTGTCGGATAAGACTTGCTCTTGGATCGTTACTCACATTTGCGTGTGGCTCCAACGATGATGTGTACAGCTGCCCATAGAACCTCTCAATCTCACTCAAAATCTCAGGTGTCCCGGAAACGATGCTGCCACACTCAGTCTTCAGCCTTGACAGTTGGCTCTTACGGCAGACAGATCTCTGGCAAAGACTTTGGAGCCCTGGTTCCGCTCGATCGCTTCTTTAATACGAGCAGTATTAAAGTTGCGTAAGTCTCGCCGCATGCATTTGGAGATCTGTCTGTTTAGTTGCCTGTATGCTGCCAAATCTGTTGACGATTGCAGCCTCATCTCCCGTCTAACAGCCATGAGATTAAGAGTGTGATCGGAGAGTTTTTGTGTTCTTCTGCGGCGGGTCTTGCAGAACTTAGCTCCGACCGCATGGACAGTTTCCACGAGCTTGTCATTCATATCGTCCACTGCATTGCAATCTTGTAGGCACTGAAAGCGGTTGTGTAACTCGAGCTGAAAGTTTTCGGGATTTTGGATTAGAGCACGAGGGGGGACGGAGCGTTGACTTCATTAGACGAGACCTCTCCAACTTAATGTTTAGGTTCAGTGTGCCTCTAACCATTCGGTGATCGCTGCCAGTTTTCAACAGTTGGCGTCTGGTCGTCATAATGAAGTCAATCTCATTTTTGTCGAACGGTCGGGGCTCGACCAGGTCCACTTCCTGTGGGGCCGCTTCTGGAAGAAAGAGTTCATCATAAAGAGTCCCTCTTTCTCCATAAAGTCGGCCAGCTGCTGGCCCCTTCGGTTCCGTTGCCCTACTCCAAATTTCCCTAACTTCAGCTCACCGTTTTCTCTTGTGCCTAGTTTTGCGTTGAAGTCTCCCATCAACACCGTGTAGTGGGTTTTGGAGGAATGCATGGCTTTGGAAATATCCTCATACATTTCCTCCACCTCCTCATCGGAATGTGCCGAGGTTGGTGCGTAAACCTGTATGACCTTCAGCGAATACCGTTTGGTGATTCTGAGTATCAGGTACGCGACCCTCGTCGACACACTCCCAATCTTTACAACGTTGTTGACGAGAGACTTGTGGACGATAAATCCGACACCTCCTTGGGACAGATGGTCGCCCTCCCGGTGATAGAACAAGTTGCCGGATTCGAGAATCACCGTGTCCTCCCCCTCTCTTCGGACCTCGGATATTCCTATAATACTCCAGCGCAACTTGTCTATCTCTTCTTCCAGCTCCAGGATCTTCGCGTCAGTCCTCAGTGTGCGTGCGTTAAATGTAACCAGGTCGAGTCGTCGTAGGTGGCAACCGAACCTCCACCGGAGATTCTTAGCACCCCCTGCCCCGCCGTTACCATGGTCGCCACCGTAGCCAGGAATAGCGGGGCCGCCGGGGACTGGGAGCCGTCTATTTGTGTAATTGTTCATGGGGGGTATATTGCCATAGTTGCCATGCTTGGCGAGCGGGTTGGCAACCGCAGTTTTTTTTTGTCGTACAGTTGCTGTTATCAGGAAGATGCTGCTGCCCATCTCCTGCCTGTTTCCCTCTGTCGCCTCTTACGACACCCACGGGAAGATATGGGGTAGTGGATATTCTCAACCGCCACTACACGGCAAATTGACTTCATTATGACGACCAGACGCCAACTGTTCAGTGATGTCTCAGTGATCGCAAGGGTGATACTCCCGTTAAGAAAGCTTAAAATGCTTGCGTTAAGAATGATTCAGCACGGTAGTTGAATGGCGGATTCGAACCCAGGACTCTGAGTTTGTAGTGTTAACCCTACTATTAGAGTGCTATTGCTTCAAATTTTATTTTATATTTTATAATCCAATTCCGAGTGGTGATGGCGTAATAAATCGATCACCCGATATCATCTCGCGGGCGCATGTCGTCAGACGACTGCGATATATCAGAAAAATCCTTGGTTTCTGAAAGATGGCGGTACGAGTATAACCATCTCGCTTACATCAGATATGTACACATAAATATATATATTTATTTTAATGAAACTAGTTTTTACGAATTTTATCGTGTTCATTAACTTAAACTTACGTTTATTAGGTACTTATTGTAAAGCACTTGAAACGTCTGGAATATGAAATAAGTAAAAAAAAACCCGATATAATCCGTGAAAACTAGTTCCTTTCAAATGTACGAGTACCTATAGTTTTCGCGTGAATATAAGAAATCATAAAAATAAGAAGTTTTCTGCGACGTCTAGTGAGTGTAAGATTAGGTACAATAGAAGCAGTGCGCAGAGTACTGACTTGAAGGGGTGTCCGTCGGTGGTCTTCTGCACGGCCTGCAGCACGTTGCGGTAGACGCGCAGCGCGAGCGCGGCTGCTAGCGCCAGCAGCGCGGCGTACGCCACCACTGACACCACGGAGCACGAGGCCAGCGCCACCAGCAGCACCAGCCCGCCGCCCAGCGCCGCGCCCGACCGCACCGCGTTCCGCCAGTAGATCAGCGACTCCACTGCGCACATACACCAACAACAACCAATATACTTTCTGCCTCTGACATATTTTAATATATATTTCAAGCTATTGCCTACTCAGGAGTCGACTTTTATGGTCTGTAATGGATGGTAATGTGTATAAACAAAAACTCAAGCAGATGGAAGCTCTCGGAAGGGGAGTTTAAACGACCAGGAGTTAGTGGGAAAGGGGAAAACACCTGGTGGACGATACGGGTGGTATCGAGATTCACCGCCTTGTGCATTTGAGCCCGGAGCAGTCTGTGACGGAATTTCTAGGCGGTAGATGGTAGTCTGGACAATAATATCTTAAAGTGATACCAGACTTTTCATAATAATAGATGTAGGTATTTGAGTCACAGCATCCACTTCTCATCAGCTGGACTGTGTATTCATCACCCTTACGTCATACTCGGTGGCTGCACTACGCACTTATCACTAAAAAGGTCATTTTAATGTTATTAAAATGGACACGCAGCGCACCTGATGCTGAGGGTTCACTACATATAACTAAACAATGCAACTTGCAGATGCGTCATCGTAATTTTGGACTAAAATGGAAAATCTCACAAGCTGTAACTGGACCGTCTCTATCACCCTAAAGTGGATACACTACTTAATGGTTCACGAGGAATAATAGGTAATAATGGAGCCCTAGCACAGTACAAAGAGTTTCTTATGTGAAGTTGTCACGTTTGGTACATTGGTGATGTGCAGTTAAGTAAAAAAAACGTTACGTGGAGCTATACTATGTAAGTAGTCAAGTTAGCATAATGCTAATGCCACGGAGTACACTACAGTAATATAAGCAAAATACCCCTACCTACCGACCCCTAAGAGATTTACAGCGATCTCGCAGATTTCCAAAAAAAAATCAGTAACAAACGTTGTTTTAAGAAAATGAGAGTACTTACATATTAGGCACAAAAGTAAGATTTTTTTCAATACAATTATATCTAAATATGTGTAATTTTTTTTTTGAAACTATACAGCACTAATGAGTCGGCTCGACCGGGAGAGGACCACGCTCTCACAGAATACTAGTGTGAAATAGCAGATTAATGCTGCTGAGTTTCGTATGGTGAGTGTAGAGAACCGGGGAACCCTTTTTACTGGATACGAGGTATTCCATCTTAGTTCTCAGGGGTGACGGCGCGATTGATTCCTAATCGAGGATAAATATATATGTCTATGGGCCACAGTATCCACTTACCACCGCGTGGGCTATGTGCTCGTATCACCCTTAGGTATTCTATAAAAAAATAACATTGCATAGTATATAAAAGAACGACAATTGAACGGTCATTTTAAAGCTTCAACCTATAAATAATATGAGCTTAGAAACAATAATTTAAGTCGACATACTTAATATCAATGATAAATTGTTATTCAAAAAATTGCTATGTGATGGCTATTCAAGTGTTTAATAAAATCCCAAATGATATAAGGTAATTAGATTATAATCGATTTAGACGTAATTTATTAATGTGGCTTTTAGAAAAACAGTTTTATTCGGTAAATGAATTGCTAAAAATAAAAGAACGTTTCTATTGACTGTAAAATGCTGTTTCTTATCTGATTGTGTTTTAAACGATTAATATTAAGATTGTAAAGTGATGCATGTTTAATTTTACTTAATTTTTTGTATATTCTAACAATAAGTTAATTAGTAAATAAGTTTTCATATACCAAAATTGGTGAAATATGTGAATCATTATTATTTTTATAAGAACATCTTTGTACCATATTTCTTGTGAATAAATATTTATTTATTTATTATTATTCTTTTGCAGCCAAATTGTTCCAAATTAACTTATATTTTGCTGGACGTCACTTGATACACATACTCAACTTCCCTTTATTCATTAAATTGCAACCGTAAACTGAACACAGACCGCGGATCACAGTTTCAAAAAACTCCCGAGTTCATGCGACGTGAATAGGATCGTAGGTGTAATGGAACAGCGGTATCGTCTCGACTTCACTCGGTTCCAACTTTCAAACTCGTTAGTATAATAAACAATACTGATGTTTCCAAAACTTGTTTAGTAAGCGTGGGCCGCCGAGCCGAGCAAATTGCTCACAACCGAATTAAGTTACGTTTTTTTTAATAAGTTGAAGTGACAAGCTAACTTCAAGTCCAACAGGCGGTTAGTGACTAATTCAGCCCATGGATACCTGCAGCCAACTTCAAATTGAGAAGGCTACAGCTGCACGGAGCACGGCAGCGCACACACTGCTATTTAGAGGTAGAATAGGTAAAAGACCAAAATAGAAAAATATAATGATAAAAATAAAAATAAATTATTCATAATTAATTAACTGACAATTATTTACATATCGATGACGCTCTAGCTCAGGGTTGCCACACGTACTATAATATATAGTACTATATGCCAGTCAATTATACTATATATTATAGAAAAACAATATAGTACGAAAATACTATAATTTTAGTAATAGTATTATGTATTTTGTAGTTATTTTCGATATTAAATATTTTTGTAGTAATTTCCGAAAAGTACCTATTATATTTTTGTCTTTTTGGGAAAAGTACTAGGTACTTATATTTGTTCAAAAAAAAAAAGGTGGCAACCATACTCTAGCTAGTCAGTTTAGGTCCCTTTACTCACATAACATAAAAACATAAACACTCACGCCTGTCACCCAGAGGGGTAGGCAGAGACTACAGACTTCCATTTGGCACGATCCTGACACACCTCTCTCGCCTCCTTCACATCCATATACTACGCATACATGCTCGTCGGTTAAGGGTACCTTTACTCACAATTTTCCTTTTTTTATTGTTTCCTATTGTTATTTTTACCTAGCCATGTTTACCTATATCTAAGTTAAAGCACGTTTGCATGTTTCGTTCTAAGATTGTTATTATTGCAATATATATGATTGTTATTATTACTATCATGATACAAATAACTTTGGTGCCTTAACAAATAAATAAATTGAAAATGAGTCCCACAATAATATGAGTCCTACTACAAAGTTATGAAACAGCAATCAGCTTACGCACTAGCTAAGTTAATAAAACGTAGGCGTTACTTTCTGTAGCCCGGATAAGTCAATAATGCGCCAGACATTAGCAGGTCTTCGCTCCTCGCGATGTGCCGCTCTGATGTCTAATGACAAGCAAGAACCGGTAACGTTAGTGCTCGGAACAAGTTCGCCCCGTCCGAATAAAAATTTACACATGACAGAAATAACTGCTTAGATAATATTAAAAAGGTACCTAAATTATTGACTAGTCTAGACAATATCACAATGTACGAAATTAACGCAAAGTCAGCACGCAATTTAATGTTGCCTACGTGATAAAAATGACTAAATAACACTAAGGTAAAATATTAATAACATGACTGTTATGGATTAGGCGTAATATGATGTCACTTATGAAAGGCCGAGCAACGCACTAAAAGTTGATACGTGTACCGTTGACTTTAACCTGTTTTAGAATACTTTTAAATTTGATAACTTGAATGCAACAATAATTGAATTAAAACATTTGCAGCGATTTCAATTCGAAATTCGAAATTGATTTAATGAAAAAAACATAAGTTGTACATAAGTAAAAGTAGTGGCAGCCATCACGAAAATTTTCTTAAGAAGTTCAGCGCACAACGATCTAATCCACAATGGGAAAGGAGTCGACTCAATACAATATCGTCCACGTGAAACAAAATTTTTATGTCCCAAATTATAACTGAAAGTATATGAACATGATATAATTCAACAGTAAAATTAAGTTACCTTAACGAAAACTTGAATTACTTTAATGATTTTCCGCAGTTAAAACACGTAAAAAAAGAACTAACTAGACAGACAAAACTTGTCGCCGTCTAGGAATAAAATACTATCCAGGTGGAGGGGGTGACGGTGTATTTTTTCCGAGTTAAAAGGATTAGCGCAAGGTTTCCGAATGATATTGTAAGGTTTGTGTACCTGGTCCCCGGGGCGGCAGCTCGACGTACTGTGCGTTGTGGCGGGGCGACTGTCTGGGACGCGCCATGGCGGAGGAGTGAGCGGACCGGACGAGCGCTTCGCCCTCCGCCGACCACGCGGCACGCGGCCTCCGCCACGCACTCGACAACGTCACCCGCACTCACCGCGCTCGCCGTGCGGCCATGCGCTTGTTATTATCGCGGACTGTCCGCTACGTGTCCGGATGGCAGCGTTACGACCATCATTTCGACATTTTCGAAAGGGAACGGAAGGCAGCCTTACAATATTTCCGGACAGATATTTCATCTGATGATCGGAAATCGGAACTAACTATGCACGTTATTGTTTTAATTCAAATGCGAACGATTTTAGAACGCGATTTGTGCATCAAATAAAACGCTACTGAATTTTAAAATGTCGTTAAGTCTACTGGTATCAAAGTCACCATGACCTAAAGTGATAGAGACCGCACGACATAACGGCGTTTTAAAATTTAGCAGCGTTTGATTATTTGGGCGTTAGAGAATTAATATTTGGTAGGTTTCGTCTATAACAAAATAGTGGAAAACCTTTTTAATTGTATTGCTAACGAATTTTTAAAGAATATAATAAACTTAAAGTTATTGTTCTTACAATATTAGTAGCTGTTTAAACAGAATATATTATGCAGTAGATTAAAATAAGACCGTAAACAATTTGCATATGCAACGAGATGGTTGTTTAAAAAGTAAATAAAGTTTCTAAATCACAGAATAAGAAAAAATCAACTTTAAGAAGTATTGAATTAACGTTGAGCATCATACATTTTCGTATATCCCACATGATAATTATATTCATCTTTTACTGATTTTTACGAAAATATGGAGTAGCGCTAGACTTAAGTGCCGTGAGTTACGCGGCACGTAAGTCTAGCACTGAACAAAACGTGGAGGGCATAGTTGCGAATGTCGTATCAGTACGGGGAACGGAATACGACCGGAGAGCCAATCAGGGCGTGCGAACTATACGCACAGCCAATCATATGCAATAATGCGATAATATG